TGTCAGGACAGAGAACGGAAACTACATACGCCAATATAAGCACCAATTTTTGCATCGCTGCCACGAAATAAACTGAGCAGCATATATTTAAGTTTATGTCATAGAATGCTCGGGGAAAAAACTCTACGAATTACGTTTCTCAACAGTATAGAAGGTCTATAGTTAAGAATGCGAGGATCGAAAAAAAATCAGACTAAAATTATTCTTTCACGAAATGTGAAATCTTTGCGAAAAATTACTTTCGTATTTACGAGCAACCTTGTGTTCACCAATTATGAGGCCCCCAACATGTAAAACTTTCCACTTAAAAGATATTTCCCAAATATGAGACATGTAGAAGAAGTGGCGTACCGAGCCCCCCCCCCCTCCCCGAGAATGGGTCGCGAAATTTTTGAAAGTTACTTACATGAGTAATAAAAATGTGCAAGTGACTTGTTTATACTTGTAAATAATTAAAATAATTTTTAAATTTTTTAAAAATTCAAGTTAGCCCTATAAAAAAATTTTTCAGGAGCGCGGCTAGTGCCACGTTCCCTTTTTCTGAAATTTGGGGCTAGGGGCCCCCAAAAATATTCGAAAGCATACAAACATAAGCATACCAAAAATTTTTTTGGGAGTGACTTGCTAACGCCACGCACCTTCCACGCACCTTCAAAAATTTTTATGGCCACCCCCCCCCCCCCCCGAGCCGAAATCCCGGGCATGCCACTGGTAGAAGAATGTCTATCATGACTGGTTTTCAAAAGGGTTTTGAAAACAAACTTAGAAGACTTTTTCTGAATTCAGGTGCACTTTGAAGGGCTAAAATAATTCTGTTTTGAATATGCTGCCTCGCAGACAAGTTCTCGAAGAATTGAAAATCCCTTTTCAAATCATTTCAATTTTCCAAACTCAACGGTGTTAGAGGAAAGGTTTAGTTCACTTTAGTGCGCAGTTAGACTCACCATGCAAAAGCTCGAGCAGATCTGTTGAATGGATCCCTCAGAAATTGCGCGTCAAACGGATCCACTCGGTTTCTGGCCTGCTAAATTGGGTTTGCAGAGTTAGGCCACATTTAGCAAGTCCTTACACTAGCCAAAATCTTTGTCCCAAAAAGTGATGAAGATCTATCACTCCACGAACACGGCGCCAAAAAGAGCTGATCGTAAATTATCAACTTGCCACGGTTTTTACCAGAACATTCTAAGAAATGTTTGTACAGGGATGAGCTCACAGTGGATATTAGGTTTGTGGCGAATATCAAGCCATGAAAAACTTCAAAAGCGTTTTGAATCTGCATTTGTTCTTCAACTTTCAAAGTTTTACCCACAAAAAATACCGATCTCACACGAAAAAAAGCTTTCGGAATGACTAGTTGTTTACAAATTATTAGTGGAGGAGGGCATTTGCGAAGTAAGTTTCAGTGTCATCCTAGAATAAGTTCGATATATAGATAGAAGACCAGTGCGAGCCTCTGCGAGCCAGAGGTGACGCACCGGTCAGAATACTGATTTACGAAAAGCAGTGTTAAAGAAACAAATATTGAAGAAACGTTTTTTTCCAAGCCTGCCTTTTTTGACGAAACGATGCTCCTTTCTGACAAGGGGAGAATGGTCGAAGTGGCCTTTTGGAATGAGTTTCATACTAGGGAACTCTTCTTGTGAGGCAATCTCTACACTACTTTTGCTAGTTGCCGAACGGTTTTGTTGAGGGAGTTATAAGGACATTTTTCAATTTCTACAATATGTAAATCTGTGGGAATTATGACAATAATTACAATAATGGATTTCAATGATGTATTAACACGTATGGAATACTACCACACTATGTTCAAAACCTCCATATGTTTTAATTTATTATTGAAACCCATTATTGTAACATCATAGTCCCCACAGATTTACATAGTGTAGAAGATTTTAGCTGATTGTGGAAATAGTGGCTTTTTACTGTCATCCAGTAGACTTTTGACAAAACTGCAAAACAAAATGCGACCAACGGAATCCGAAACTTCGGCCATCTTCTTCACAATGCGATGCCTTGCCGCCACACTTTCATTTAAGGGCCTCGTTCATTAGTACGCGCTTCGGCTGCGAGGGAGGAAATTGGCCTCATAACTTTCCCAGAAGCGTTCTGCAACTAGCGAATGTATTTTGAGATGGCCTTACCAAGAAGGATCCCAGTACAGAGCTCATTCCAAAAGGCAACTTCGACCGATCATCCTTCTGTGAGAATTGACAAGCATATTAACTAGCTGTAGAATAGAGAAAGTTTCGAAGATTACAGTACAACTTAGTTTGAGCAAATAATTGGAGCCGCTTTTCGGATCCCGCTTTTGTATATATGCTTATTTTCGACACAATATTTCAATTCATCATAAGCGGCGAAAACTAAATGGTAAATGGGACCGGCTAGCTCTTACTTTGTTCTAGCACTCCAATTTGAACTCATCGATTGTCTCTACTCACTGAAAGTTATTGCTCGTGAAACATTGATGTGAGTTAATAGCCCTTGTCACCAAATTTTACAAGCAGAGCGGTTTTTACATGAAAGTCGGTTTTGCATAAACTAGTATGTTAAACCGTTATTTCGAGACCAAGCAAGTACTTGAGTCGGAATGCGCTGCGTGGATATTTTCTTGCAAGAACGCATGTCCTGGGCGAGACCGTATCTCGGCCATATGAGATTAGGCTTGTAATTTCATTCAGACTGGGGACTCTATTGAAATTTGGTATGCATTAGAAAGAGCAAGAAAGACGCTTATCGATGATATAAAAGATAAAACATTTATGACGGAAATCTTTTAGAACAGCTGTTTCAAACATAAGGCAACAAATATCGGACAGAACTTGTGCAGCAGTTTAGGATTTTATTCTAATCATCATGACCGATTGTGAGCACTGACAACGTCTCCGGCGTTGTAAATCGTTCCTTGAGGAAATGAACCAACATTCGTACGCGACTCTCTATGCAAGATTTAAGCGCAGATTCTCGTTTTTGGTGAAATCCAACAACTTTCGTGAGCATTTGAAACTCAATCGCAGACTAAAAAGAGTAATTGACACATGTTCTTGCGAATTCTATAGAAATACGAAAAACCTCGTTTTTAGCACGCGAAAAGCTAAAAAAACGCAAATTCACGATACCACTGGGATGTTTTTGAGATCTCAATCGCTATATTTGCTGCAGTCACATTCATTCTGATTTACTCATGATGTTAACATCCAGGACGAAGCCCCGGAAGACTTCTGTTTTTTTTTCTGGTGAAGGTTGTGTTTTCTTGTGTGCTCAAAGTGAAGGCCACCAGAACACATGACTTTAGGCATCGAGGGTTTGGTGCTTACCCAAAATGTGATATTTTTGGGTGTCAAATTACGGTTGCAGAGAAAATGCTACAATAAAATTTTTTTCTAAGAATTTTTCATAATGTTGTTCTTTTTGCATTTGTATGTGAGATTGAAACTGTTACAGTAACATTTAGATTACCGTTATATAAGAATTTTTGAATAGATTCTCTTAGGCTAACTTGTGTCCTTCCGAAAGAATTTGCAACTCCAGTCCTGATAGCTACAATCGCAATGGCTAAACTACAAAAAGTTATACTCAAATGTCTATAATGGAGCACAGTCATTCTACTAATTTTGGGATTTGAAAGTTGTTGAATGTTGTTTGAATTACGTAAGAAGTATCGCGCAATCCAATATTTCATCTATAATATCCGTAGTCTAAATTCTTTTCGAAGTAGATTCAACGACTTGTGCAGACATCTGACACGTTCAGAAATCCCTTTGAGCAATGTATATTTTATTATGTGTACACACTTAATGTCATTTTCATAGTAACGACGGCCGATTTGCGTCCTTTAACCCATTTAAAGCAAAGCAATTATCAGAAATTTTCCCTCATGAATTTCAATGTTACGCCACTGCTTTTTCAAGCGATAGTCAGTTGATGTTGAAAAAGAACCTTTTCGGCGCTGACATCTGCTACAAACCGTGCATCTAAAATATCTAGTCCCTAATTTTGCCCGACCATCTCATCGGCGACATATGTACTTCTCCGCCTCCTGGGCAAGCTTTATTTTGGAGATGTCTTTTACCATATGTTGTTAAGCAGCTGTTGTTTACCATCCAAAAGGCCCTCATGTGCTAGGAAAAAAACTTGAAGTAACAGCCTGAGGTGAGCAAATTTGCTTAGGATCAGTCAACACTCCTCGCTTGCTTCAGGCTGCGTTAAAAGCGCAAAAAAGCGAGCACAGTAACTTAAACACCTTTTCAGCCCTAGATTGATTTTTTGACAATCTGATTTTGCCTATAAAGGCATCGTTCAAGCAAAACTAGGGTGGTAAGATTTGATGAATTCAAAAGCGCGGCCCCTAACTAATCGAGCGTCCAAGTCCCGCTGGAAAAGTTGAATTGCGAATGAGAAAAACGCTCCAGAAGGACGAAACGGCTAAAGTGCCCAACCCATCAACTTGGGTAGTCTGAAAATAACGAGTTCAACATGGGCTTTAATATGTCCAAAAATGTAGCACATCCGCCTTTCATAATGACTATCAAATTTGCGAACTATTTGTCACCTGGAATATGATGAGGGGGTCCTAACTAAGACACTGTCCAAGGGCGCAAATTGTTCATTCACGGCTGAGAAAACCCTTCCCTAAAAATCCCGCGCCTGCGCCGTGAAAGTAATCCAAAAACGACTTTGACACTTTAGCAATACGTTCGCGCTGGGACCCATCTCAAGTGTTACGGTCACGGCGCAACCGCGAAATGTTTGGAGATGGATTTCTCAGCCGTGAATGCATCGTTTGCGCTGCGGTTAGAACAGTGCCTTAATTAGAACATCCTCATCAGTTTCCAGGCAAAAAACCCATATGCCCGCATTTGCCCGACACTGCCTTTAAGGGCCCAGCTACTATATTGCATCAAAATCTCATCACCCTCAATTTGAACCTTCCATTTAATGATCATATCTATACTTATAATCATTACAATAATCCTAACAACACAGCCACTACAACAATGAAGACAACAGCTGTGACTGCTACGACAACACGTACTATGGCACCACCATCGGAGATGATTTCTACGTCGGCTGCTACGAGAATACATACCACAACATTGCCATCGGGGATGATCTCTAGCGTTACAAGTACTAAACCCTTTGCTGCATCCAAACAACTCATTAAATCATTTCAAATATTTTAGCAACAGCTGAAGATGAGAGCTTCACAGAGCCGTACGATAGCGAGGAGAAGAAGCATGGACGAAAGAGACATAGTATGTACGTGTTCAATCGCAGCTGCTCCTTTTGATGAGGTTTATGATGGAACTTTCAGGGCAACTCTCCTTATTGTGGTTGGAGCCATAGTATATGCGATGCTTCTATTGCTCATTCTTCTTGTTCTCACCATAATGAGATTACGATCAGCTAAAAGACGCCGAAAGCGTCCAAAAGCACATCATCGGCGGGCCGAGAGTAGAGAAAAGAGCAAAGAACGCACACCAATTACAACCGGAACAACTACCGTAGATCTGTGGAATGACCCGACAGTAACGCCACATGACTCGATAGGAACGCCGGAGCCGACAGTAACGCCACATGACTTGAAAGGAACGCCGCATGAGCCGATGGGAACGCCACATGGCCCGTCAATAACGCCACGGTCGAAAGAGTCAGCGGTACAGTTAAAAAGCGATTAATAAGACTAAAGAACCGATGTTGATATGTATAAGTCACCAATGATGCTCATGATTTTTCGGTATCACATAGCAATGTTTGTGATTGCATTAAATCGTTGTTTTAATGCTCTTGCACCCACCAGAAAACAAGATTCATAACCTATGATTAGACCGGCATGGCTTCAAGGAGGCGGGGCTTTGTGACCTAATTGAGGCCGCTCGCGCCCGCGACACCTGCGTCTCTCTCGTGGGAGTGCTCTCTGATCATTACCTAGCCTTATTTAGGTCACGAAACCCCCTTTCCAAAGCCAAGCCAGTTGAATCAAATGGTAAGCATCTTTTCTTAGTGAGGATACGAATGACCCTATAGCTTCACACAGTATCAAATTTGTTTACAGGCAAGGCTCCATCTCATGATCTCTTCCCTTTACTATCTTCTAACAAGTTGCTGGAATTTAAACGTACAAATTTTCACCTTAGCTATGCGAATATCATGCTCTTTTTTCCTGCAAAGCGCTACCTCACGTCTTCTTCAATTAGAAACTGTTAATCTTCGCGGATTTACCTCGTTTTCTTCTTTCTTTTAGCTTGATTGGATGACTAAGAACTAGGTTTGGGTGAAAAGCCTTTTACTTTTAGTTACATTACATGTCGGTTGCCGTGTCTTTTGATTGAGCTTCTTCTCAACAGGCGATTCGAGGAAATCAAGTACGTATGCTATTAGCTGGCGTACCCTGTTCTGTCCGGCTCCGGTCCTATCAATACTTTATGATAGATATCTCCAGGTCATAGTTGCGTAACAATTCCCCGTCCCGGTGGAGACGGCCCTTCTGCAGGGCTAACCGCACTTCAATTACAGCACGTATTTGAATGGTCGGCGTTACCGCGGAGATAAGCGAAAGAGCCAGGAGTCGTTGAGAAGCAGCCTCCCTGTATTGTACGGTCTACTCAAAAAAAAACATAAATCAAAGAAGATTTCAAGGTCTACATGAAACTCAAAAAATGTTAAACATGGGTGGCTTACAGGGGAGGGATACTTGGATGCCGTAGCTATTCATAATGATTTGTATACCAAAAAATGCGCTTTTGAATGCTGGTTCGTAGACTGTCTTTCATATCTGCGAAACGATAATCTGAATGGAGTTATGATTTTTTCATTAAAAAAATTGCGTTCCTGCGGAAGGTCAAAATCATCAATAAAAAAATTTTCTCTCCTTTCCAAATGCTGAGTATGATCCAGATAGTCTAAATAAATATCTACGTTTGAAATTTTCTTCAGTAGCATCAAACGGTAGGCTAGATCAAATCTGGTGATTTTTACTATCCAAAAGTAGGCTAAATTTTCTAGGAAAAAAGTTCATAACTTTCTTCAAAAGATCGTTTCGCAGATTTCGAGCACAGATTCAGAATCTGCATTCGAAGGCGCATTTTTTGGTATACCAATCCATTAGCAATGGCCGCGGCATCCAACTATCCTTCCCTTGTTAGATAGCTTTTTCATATTATTGTTCCTCAAGCGCAAATTTTACGGTGGCTTGGAGAAGTGAAAAAGGGAAAAAAATTGTGAAATGGCGAGTAAAACACATTTTATATATGAAGCTAAGTGTATGTTTGTATGTCTGTCTCTATGTATGCTCCCGATAGAAAATTCCTGTCGTAGATTATCCAAATAATCTACAACTTTTAGGATTGTAGATCTACCGTGTTTGTTATATTCAATATCTAATAGCTTGTCGTTGACAAACGTTACTGTTCACTGACCACTTAAGCCGCCAGGTCACCCCTCAACCGTGCTTGATAGTCTACTTGGCGGCGCCTACTTTCATGTAGGCAATCCTTGATTCTGTATGATACTGTTATTTGCCAGAAGTGAGCATTCAGGTTATCCACGCCCAAAATAGTGGCATAAAAGAGCCTGAATACTCAGTTCTGGTGTTGGTTCGATTATTACCACTATCGTCAGCGGCTGCTCCGCTACTATCGAATAAACAGTTATACAACGTAGTGGTACCAGCTTGGTGTATACCAAATTGGTGCATTCGGCCTACGGATCACTTTCTGGCGTTTGCTACCCAGGAAGCTGATAAAGTCTCGCGTGGCAGGATCATATACCACTAATTAATCGAAAACCTCTTGCGCGCTCTGTTCGTCAGAGACCAGAGGCTAGTAAAGACGTTAGTTGGTGATCATTTACCACTGAATATTGAACCCCACTTTGCGCGCTCTTTTCGTAAGAGACCAGTGGGTAGTAAAAAAACAGCCAGTAATTGGCTACTAATCACTGAAAACCTCTTGCGCGCTCTGTTCGTCAGAGACCAGAGGCTAGTAAAGGCATTAGCCAGCGAATCATATACCACTGTATATTGAACCCCACTTGCGCGCTCTTTTCGTAAGAGACCAGTGGATAGTAAAGAAAACAGCCGGTATTAACCACTGTATATTGAACCCCACTTGCGCGCTCTTTTCGTAAGAGACCACTGGGTAGTAAAGAAAACAGTCGGTACTTTAGCTACTTGACAAATTGAAAACCCTCTACGCGCGCTCTTTTCGTAAGAGACCAGAGGGCCGTAAAGGCGTCAATTAACAGTAGCTGACCACAGAATTTTCTGAAAACTTTCCTAGCGCGTCCTTTTCGTAAGGAACCAGGAAGTGGGAAAAAAAATTTTTTTTGTGAAAACACCCAAATTCTAGTGAAACTCTCTTGCGCGTCCTTTTCGTAAGGAACCAGAGAGCGGAACAGTTTTGCGGTCAGAAGTCTCATAGTTCATTCAAGAACTGTTAAACCTCAAGGATTTCTCAATTCTTTACTGGGCAAGGTCCAAACCTACCAGTCAGCACAGCGTTCAAGCCAACGGCACGCTTGCTAAGTAACTAGAAGAAGCTACGCACTCCACTGCTAAGCTCAATAGTGACTAATTTTCTTGCACCCAGCAAGGAAAAATCCCACAGAGGTCCAGGCCCAGCCAACCTCCACAGTTCTCGACAGCTGCGAGTACTAAGTACTCAGCCAGAACTCTACTACAAACAAACACCTGCAGTGCCAAAGCACGCAGTCCATGCGCACAAGGCAGACGATGGCTGAGCTAACTCTATATAAAGCTCGCATTTCTATGGCTTCCTCATCAATCAGCGGTCTTGAGGACAAGGTCCGCAATATTGATAAAGCTTTTGAGTTTCCCAACACATCAACCGAATGCAACGCCTTTATAACGGATAGAATGGCAGAGCTTGATGAACTGCAAATCTCCCTAACAGGTTTAATGGAGAACCTGGAGGCGCAAGTGCAAACTGCCATGAATTTTCTTGGGGCAAAAAAGGACCAGTCAGACAGAGACAAATTGATGAACGATTTGGCTACCTTCCTAGGCACAGAAGCAAATGGTCTACAGCTTGAAGGCATTCACTGGACAAATAGACTAAAATACCGGATGAGGGAACTGGAGAAGCAATCGAATCTGATCCAAGCCCACACTCTAACGACGTCGTCACGTGCTAGTTCAGTGAGAGACCCTGACATGGAGAATTACGCATCTACAAGGCAGTCTTCTGGAAACAAAATGCGACTACCGCAACTTGAAGTCCCTACGTTTGATGGCAGCTATAAGGAGTATCCAACATTCTGGACAATATTCAACTCGCTGATCACCCGCAGCTGAGCAACGTGGACAAATTCCTTTTCTTGAGGCAGGCATTGAAAGGAACAGCAGCTACACTTCTTGGTAACATGCCAGTCATTGGAGAAAACTACGACAAAGCCATACAACTTTTGATAAGCGCTTCAACAAATCCGGATGCATAGCGGATCTACTTATCAAAGAGCTCGAAAAACTTCCGCGAGCAGAAGAAGATGCCCACAGCTGTAGACAAGCTCTGATTAGTGTGACCGAAAAGCTCACTCACATCGAAAGTGCAGGAGTTCCCTTGGACAACAACCGAATGTGGAGGCGACTAATACTTTCAAAATTTCCAAACTCGCTGAACGAGAAAGTACTTTGCAAAGAGCAAATTGAAGAAAGACCATTCACAACAGAGGAGATTTTAGACATTTTGGAAAATGCTGTCGCTTTAAAGGAAACCCTCGCTTTTACAACATCTGCATTTGAACAGTGCGATGTCGCAGGACGTTTCGATTCCGATCAAGCTGTTGATGAGAGCCTGAACTACGAAGAGGACTCGACCGCATACAATCTGAAAAATCGACAAGGAAGTACATCGCCGAGAGATTCAAGTGCTCAATGCATTTGCGGAAGTTATCAACATGGTGCAACGCATTGCACAACATTCCAAACAGCAGCAGAACGACGTGATGAAGCTAGAAAACGAAGACTGTGCTTCAAATGTCTTCAAACCGATCACAGAATCAGTGAATGCACAAGCTCACTGTCATGCTACCAGTGTCACGGAAACCATCACGCGGCCGCATGCATGAATGGCGTACCAAAAGGCACCTCAAACGGGCGATCACAGCAACGAAGTGCTTACAAACAACATTCGAGAGAACGGGAATTTGTGCAAAATTCCGAAGTTCTGCGCAATGGGAGCACAGCGAAACGAGGAGGGATGCAGCACGTATTGATGACGGCGACTGCACTCGCATACGACTACACATCGACCAGCTATAAGCCCGTGACAGTTTTCTTTGATGGAGGTGCGCAGAAGAGCTTCACCAATGCAAAGATGACGAATGCTCTTGGCTTACCAGTGCTCCGAAGCACCACTTTCAAGATTGACAGCTTCGGAGGATCTACCGCAAACTTCACATCCAGTGAAGTCCCGCTTACTCTGAGAACAAGTCTGCTGGAGTCGCTGTCAAAGCTGTGAAGATACATACAAAGTCAACACTCACTTCCGCGATGAGCACAGCTTGGCTAAGCGCAGAGGATAGAAGGTTGATTCGAAAAAGAAAGATTCGAGTAGCAGAAGCGGATCTGAAGACGCGACGGACCACACCTGACATTCTCATTGGTCAAGATCTAATTGATCAATTCATCTTGAAGGATCGGCCATGTACAATTCTTCCGTCTGGGCTTATTCTCACCCCTACTGTTTTCGGTCATGCATCTCCGGAAGCAGTCGGATGTACGGAGTCAAA